TCTTCTCTAAATTGGTCAATACAACTTCCATCAGTGGTTGGCTCATGAATATTAATTGAGTCATGGGCACGATGCTCTGTAACCTTCCTGGAGCGTCAAGTGACGTAATTAATATTGATAAGCTAAACGTATTTTTCTGATAATGCGAGAAAATGCTGCAATTATACTTTTCGCTGAAAGCAAAAAAGAATAAAAAAAAAAAAGAAAAGAAAAAAAAACAGCCACCACTGAGGACAGATTTGAATAAGATGTCCAATTAGTGTTTTCATGTGTAGGTCTCTAGTGTAATTAATGGATCTCTAAAGCTCTACTGCAAACACTGTTTAGCAAGCTTGTTGTTTGGAAAGCAAATTTGCAAATCATTCAAATTTGCTCAAAATCTGTTATTACCACTGTTAGAGAACTTCACCTATTGCAATACTAATAATAAAACATATAAGTGTAAACATAAGAAAATATACTTTTTTATGGGAAGTTATGTGTTAGGTGCTTTTTTGCATCAAAAAGTATGAGAGTTTGTCAGCCTTCTAGGATATTCGGTAACACTTTATTTAAGGACCAATACACATACAGCATATATTTTGAAAATATTTACATGTATATATTTATATTCATTTAATTTATATTATATATAAATACATATATATTATATAAACATAACATTTTTCTTAAATACAGAAATCATTTTCTTATATACATAATAAATATACACAGTACACACACATATATTATGTGAACAAAAACTTTTATTTTGGATGCGATTAATCGTTTGACAGCACTAATAAGGACCAATTCTTACTAACAACTAACTAGATGCTTATTAGCATGCATATTACTAGCATATTGGCTGTTTATTAGTACTTGTAAAGCACATATTAATGCCTTATTCTGCATGACCATATCTTAGATCCCTTAATCCGCCCCATACCTAAACTTAACAACTACTTTACTAACTGATAATAAGCAGCAAATTAAGAGTTTATTAGGTGTATTATGCTATAATGAGAACTGGTCCCTAAATTCTACCCATCTTTTATACTGAAATTATGAAATATCAAAATGATGAATAGGATCTTTTGTGAGTGTTGTAAACAAATGTTCAAATCAGATTCGGACTCATTCTTCAGATTTTGGAAATTACTCTTTGAAACAAAGGAAATAGGAAATAGGTTCTCAGGAAATAAATGAGTGAATGAATGAACTTACAAACAGCTCTATTGTTTCTTTCCCGATAGCTGTCTAATTGCATAACATCCATTATATGTAATGTGTTCCTTCAAACACTAGCTATGTTTCCATCCACCTATTTTTATGTGCGTTTTGGATTATCACATAAAAAAACGCTGGATGGAAACGCCAAGATGCGCATAAATTCTAAAAATGCGCATAAAAATCGCATGCGCACAATTGAGTAGGATAAACTTTTTATCCGATAAGAAAAAATGTGCATAAATTACGACGGAATACATTTACCGAATAAATTCCACCATGCGCATTGAAAAAGTCATGTGACTTTGCGCTATGAGACGGGATAACTTGACTAACCATCGGACCGATCTCGTTCACAGCATCTATATGTTGTTTTGGTCGTTCTGAAATGCCTGAGTAAAGTCTGTCATCAAAGTATTTCTGTATAATTACTGACTTACATGACTGCGTTCCCAAACAGCAGGCATCCACCTCTAAAAGCAATGACCGCATTTATTGTGTTACGTCTGCTCTCTCTGAAGCGCAAGTAATTTATTACATTTGAAAATTATCATATTCAGTGCACTCTAAAAAATGCTGGGTTAAATATAACCCAGCGCTGGGTTATATTTAACCCAGCATTTTTTAGAGTGTGGCTTCTCCTAATTTTCTTAGATATATTTAGTGCCAGTTTATCAGGAAGTGACGATTTTGTTCTCTTTGACTCGTTGGATGGAAACGGTGCTTTATTCGCAAATGTTTTATGCGATATAACAGTTTTGCGCACAAGTTAAATTCGCATCTTTGGATGGAAACATAGCTACTGCTGTAGAATAGCACCACCCTACTCAGTTACAATTTGTAAAGCTACAGTAGCACTGTTTGTATCTACCCAGGCTCATTGGAAATATGTGCCTCTACCTACATTTCTGCAAAACTCAAAAACGTACCTATATGTACGAATTGTTGTAGTTTCCAGTTGAAATGAACACTGGAAGCAGTAAAACTCCAACAACTTTTATTTCTTTTCACACAAGAATTTCGAATAAGAAAGCCTAATTTTCGCACAATTCCTTGCACAATATTATGTTATGACTTCAAAACAATTTTAACATGCTGTGAGCTTTGAAAATTGATAGTTTTGAAAGTTAGCATCACATATACAGCTTCATATATATGCGTTTTCTAATGCAGTATGTTTCCTCTGTAGCTCACGTGATACAGCGTGGCACTTGTGAGGTCAAGCGCTTCGAACCCTGTTAAATGACGGTTCGACAAAACAGTTAAAATGTGCATATAAGGAATTAAAATGGCAGGGTTGCATCAGCAGAATACATGCCTGTACCAATGCAATAAATATGTGGCCACGGTCACGTATTGAATGCGCGTTTTAGCGCCACCCACTGGACATTTAAATTTGAATCTGCTGCAAAACATGCAGTAAGGTATGTAGCATCTGTGTTGCAGAAATGTCGCCTCAAGCACGTATTTCCAATGAACCTGGGTTGGTTTGTATTGTTTTCTCCCATGGATTATTTGCTCATGGTTACATGTCACTTTGGCATCTGCTAAATGAATAAATGTAAATGTAATGAAGTTAGGAACAGCACTGCTAGTTCTCAGTTCACTGTCCAGGTCCACAATACATCTGCTTTATGAAAACACACCCTGTTTTTGTTATGAATACAAGTCAAGCATGTAAAAATGTGTGGAAATATTCCAAAATGTTTGTCTGAAAGACGAGACAAGAATTTGGAGCGCCAACAATGATGAACTGAGGAGAAAAGCACAGATTTTGGAGGTGGCAGCTTCCAAATATGTGCATGCTGGAGGTTGTCCATTATTGTCAAGGGAGCACCGTGTGCATTAGACACGTACCAGTTAGCGACAGGTCAGCGGCTGCAAGCTCACCTTTGTGGTTGAAGTCATATATGTACTCCGGGCAGGTAGTGGACACCATCCTTCCAGGCAGTCCCTCAGGCCAGCAAACGATGCCATCCCACTCCGGCATGCAGTAACCCTCTATAACACAAAGCAGGATTAACATTTAGATAGAGTGAATTCCACCACTCCAGAACCTGCACCACCCACCCACTCCAGCAAAACATGAATACCCTCCTCCACTAAGTGGCTTCTCTGGCACTTGGACACATTTAGCTGAGTGACAGTGCTACAATCTCTACTGGTCTATCTGCTCGATATACTCAGACAGAACAGAAAGTGTCAATCACTGTAACAATGCATAGCTTTCAAAGCACTGTTATCTTGTGTGCCTTTTACATGCATGTTTCTATTGTAGTTGAAAGCCAACATGAAATAGCATTCATAACTGATTTTAAGTAATCTGATGTGAAACAGGCTTCTAACACTTTCTTTGTCAACTTATTCTACTAACCCTAAACCTACCCTAAGTCTACTCTGAGAGTTAGTAGACATGTAGTTGCAAATTAATGAGAATTAGTTGACATGTAGTTGACATGTAGTTACAAAGTTACTTAGAGTTAATAGAATGTCTAAAGTGGACTATCGAAATAAAGTGTAACCAAAAAAATTCATTGAGAATTAACTGGATCATGAAAAGCAGTCCAGTACAAGAACAAACCCTGGGTTAAAAAGTATTGTTTTGTTTTTTTATTGGAAAGTTGATACAGTTATAACATTTTATGCTAAAAGTTCATAAGGACATATTTTTATGACATTTTTAATTGTGCACAAACACAAACAAAAAGGGTTTTGTGTTGACTTTAAAGACACAGCTTCAACAAAAGCCCATTTTGTGTAGTCTCAAATTTTATACTCTATTTCCACCTGGTATAAAGATGCATTTTCAATGATCCAATCACAAGTCAAGATGAACACTGTTTCCACCTTGCATTTCAAATGCATCTCTTGTGACCACTTCTGTTTGTATCCTTGAGACACTCCAGTTTAATTTAATCAGACCTGACATTATTTTTTCAAGTACGGAGAGTGTGGCAGACAAATACTATTGACTGAACAAACCCATGTTACATGGATCAAAAGTGCCACCTACTGTCAGAGAGTGAATTTGCATTTTTATTCATCCAGTCTGCTGATTTTGTTGCCGTCACTGTTATAAACCACAGTCCTAAACCACTGCCTGGATCGCCATTTCATTCTGTAACGTCTAAATGCAGTTTTGATTAATATGCTGTTTAATACTTTATGATCGTGTTATTTTACACATGCATATGCTTACATACAGTATGGGAAGGCTTGTGTCTGCTGCTTCTTCACTGTGTTTTGATCAAGAGACATTCATTACTCTTTCAGAAGATGCGTAATATCGCCTCCTACTCTACACCAGTGAAAACACGGAAAGTCAGAAAAAAAAGTTAAATACGCTTTCAACAGTGGACTAAACCAAAATGCTTTAGACCCCATTTACACCTGTATTTAGCATTGTCCAGCTGTGAAAGGATCAACAAAAAATGCATCTTTTTTTTACCAGGTATAAACAGAGCATTGAAGGCATTCAAGAGTGAAATGTCTCGCACACAACCGTGACCTCTCTAGTATTCTTATTTTTCTTCAAAAGTCAAAAGTTCTCAAGTCCTACAGTATACTTATACATATATGATTTTACATTATACATACAGTACTATGGATGTGCCTGAAGCCGAATACCTTATTTGGAAATCCACAGAAAAAAAAATCCACAGAAAATGAATAATGCATAAGGCTTGTGTCTGCTGCTTCTTCACTGTGTTTTGATCAAGAGACATTCATTACTCTTTCAGAAGATGCGTAATATCGCCTCCTACTCTACACCAGTGAAAACACGGAAAGTCAGAAAAAAAAGTTAAATACGCTTTCAACAGTGGACTAAACCAAAATGCTTTAGACCCCATTTACACCTGTATTTAGCATTGTCCAGCTGTGAAAGGATCAACAAAAAATGCATCTTTTTTTTACCAGGTATAAACAGAGCATTGAAGGCATTCAAGAGTGAAATGTCTCGCACACAACCGTGACCTCTCTAGTATTCTTATTTTTCTTCAAAAGTCAAAAGTTCTCAAGTCCTACAGTATACTTATACATATATGATTTTACATTATACATACAGTACTATGGATGTGCCTGAAGCCGAATACCTTATTTGGAAATCCACAGAAAAAAAAATCCACAGAAAATGAATAATGCATTCTACAGAGCCCCTAAACGGACATTGTTAGGTTTGCTGCGGTAGTTACACTGTGTTCGGCCATGCTGTGGCCAAATTACATCATCAAAATGTGGACTCAGAGGAAGACTGTGAGGATTTAGGGTGTCGTTTTGGACAGACCCACAGAGTAGGCATACGCATGATCACAAATTTAAAAGCGAAAGTGAAAAGTGAGCATGCATTCAAAAATGATTTCAATACTCTCCATATTGATAGAGGCTCCCTGATGCCCGCAAATTATATACAGTACAATTACCCAACTATATAATTGCGAGAGAATGCAAAAGCATGAAATATATTTTTTCCTCCCATCTCCCATTTTCCGTGCCTTTCCAAATAAGGTATTGAGCTTCGGGTTCATCCCTATACAGTACATCTGCTTATAATTAGATATGTAATAATATTGTTGACCATATCCCAACTTTAACTACTATACAAAGTCAGACTGTCTATGCATTTTGAGATCAAGTTCAGAGCGAGTCTATCAGTGCATTGAGTTCTGCACCTATTATATTCAATGATGCTAACTACAATGCTTAGTGAATTTCTTATTTACACTGTTTGTACTCTGTTAGTTATGATGAAAGCATTTGTGAGAGTGCAAAAAATTAAGAGATCTGTTGAGTCTGTTGAGATCATTGCATTCAACAGACATGACTGTGATCGGCTACAATGCTCAGCACTGCAACCTTTTATGGGAGTAGATCTAAATATATTATTATAATCAACACTTTTCATTCTTAGTTAATCTTGGCAGGTGTAAAAGTTTTCAAAAGAGCTCCAGGTATAATACTTTGTTTAGATGCGAAGATGCCGGCTAATCATAGCAGTGGGTCTTTACATTGAAGTTTTAAAAGAGATCCATCCATTTAAACAGTGTTCAAATCTGAGAACTAAAATCAGGGTAGAAAATGCCATTTATTTCTATGATGGCAGTTTTTGATGTACAGTGCAAGCATTATAAGTGCTCCCCAAGAAACATTATAAAAATGCAGCTCATGAACCTTTTAAATATCTTGTTTCACTCAGAAATATGACAAATTAAAAGTAAAAGAAAAAGCCTACAGTTCTATGTGGGACAACTAATACAAGCTAATAATACTAAACTTTGAGTTAGCACTGTAAAGTTAATGACAGATTGTGCATGATTACATATAAAGTCTTTAGCCTTATTTTAACACCCCTTGAAATGATTTATTTCTGTACTTTATGTAATTATAATTTTGGTGGATTGCACTTTAGTGTGACAATGACTTCTATTACACATGTGACACCATTTTTAAAATTTCAGCATATACAGCAAAATCTCTTTCAATTGCTTAAACAACTACAACACATTGCAAATATTTATCGCAACTTTTTTCTTTGTTTCATGACATACTATAACTTGCTGTAACACCAAAAGCACAAAGCAGATTCTATTCCTGCACTAGTAACAATGGTTCATGTCATTCAACTCTCTGAAAATGAAATAGTGTAGGAACAAAAGAATGAAGCTAAGATTTAGACCACCTACATTATTTCAAATTCTGTTAGTGTGAAAAATGGCCACTTTTGATTAAAAAAAGTCTAAAGATCTGGAAATACATTAATGACAATATACAGTATCTCAAAGTTTTGAATGAGTCTGAATAAGGGTCTCAATGATTGAAGCTAACACATTTATATGCACTTCTAAATGCTTTTCGATATTAGCTGTTCTTTTGTGATCATGTCATTCAACTCTCTGAAAATGAAATAGTGTAGGAACAAAAGAATGAAGCTAAGATTTAGACCACCTACATTATTTCAAATTCTGTTAGTGTGAAAAATGGCCACTTTTGATTAAAAAAAGTCTAAAGATCTGGAAATACATTAATGACAATATACAGTATCTCAAAGTTTTGAATGAGTCTGAATAAGGGTCTCAATGATTGAAGCGAACACATTTATATGCACTTCTAAATGCTTTTCGATATTAGCTGTTCTTTTGTGCGCAGGCAGAAAAATGGTCAGGGTTCTGTCCTGGCAGTCCTGTCCTTATTGACTTTATGTGTCAGTGTTTGTTTTATGTATGAGCACATGGCTTTGTGTTGCCCATGTGCTCCTCTTGTCTGGCCTCCTTGTTTCCCTTTACCATGCCCATTTGTTCAGTACTTATCTAGTCCTCATTTGGTTAATTTTCACCTGTTCCTTGTGTGATTTCCTTCCTATACATTATTTTCCTGATTGTTTAGTGCCACACATTTTGTGTTGCATCCTTTGTGTCCCTTGCCGTACTCTTTTGCTTTTTAGTTGTCTTGCCTTGTCCAGTTATTGTGAAACAATATCTGTTTGTGTTCTAGCCATCAACTCAGTTAGGCCAGTGGATTCTGCCAGCTTGTTTATCCCAGCCTTTGGACTGTCCCACCAGGCTCTGACCCCTGGATTTGCCTGTATGGATTGGCTGCTTATTTACGACCCCTGTCTGTCATCGACAAGTCCTGCTTCAGTCCCTAAAGTTTCCTCACCACCTGACTTTCAACCGCTCTGCCTGCCTGATTATCGACCTGTCTGATGTCAACAGTTCGCTGTCTGGACTTATCACCTGGTTTCGATTCTCATTTGGCTCTCACTCTCTTACAGTTATTTCTTTTAGGACAACTTTCCAAATAGTTCAGCATAGTAATGGGTATGACAATATTAATGCATTTGATCTAGGCAGAATAGATTTGTTATGCATGCTACTGCTGCAGTTGATTATTGCTGTTGCAGAGCAAGTTTTGAGACTTGCTACTGCCAATACATCCACAGACATGCTCATGTGAGCATGTAATACATTAAATAACCAGTAGCTCATCTAGACAGGCGGAGCTGG